AGAGAAAAATTTATAAATGCAAATACAGCTGTAGAATGATAAATAGAGGACTGCATGATAATAAGATGGCGCTGCAATCTGGTAGACAAGGAAAGATGTATCGTATTATTGCTCTCTCTTTCTTTTTTATGTAATATACATATACGCACACATACATAACTTTCGCGTTGTCGGTAAAACAGACAGACTCCAGCATCCCCTTAACATTATTATTTACGATCAATATATTATTATATCATTTGATTAATAATAGTAATAGTAATAATAATCAATAATAATTTAATAACAGATATATGATCATTACATACATTTTTATTTAGTTATTATTAAGTTACATTTATATTACGAACCTCCCACGTATAGAAATTAAATGCCAGCAACTAGCTCTTTGCTAGGGACATGAATTCAATGTTTGAGTGATTTAAGTACAGCTGGCATAATGTTTTGTCGTAGATAAGTGCACAGCTAAAGAGAGAACACATATCGAACGGATATACTGTTAACAAAGAGTTAGCATACATTGTTTTCCATTTTTTAACTGATATAAACACGTTATATCTATTACATCTGGCTAAGCACCCAAGGAGCGCCAATCCACATATATACAACTTGCTTTTAATGCGCGTTTTATTACATTGGCTTCAAAATGACGTTAAATGTGTGTTTAAAACGTGCGAATTTAACATGTTTGGACATATTTAAGATATATAATTTTATATAATTCTGTATATTTATACATGCTTATGCATGAAAAATTATGCATAGCAGGTAAATGGTACAGTTTTTTGGAATGCGCTGCCACAATATACATTTAATGCGGGACACACAAATACGTGCATTAAGTGCGAATTTAAATATACCTTTAAAGCACATTATACGTGAATTGGCGCTCCTTGGGCACTTAATTAATGCTAGAATAATGCTTAAATGCAAATGTTTTATTTCCGACATAAAATGCTAGCAAACAACAGCACAATAGACGATATAGATGCATAGCAAGATGCTTACAATTTCGTTAGCAATGTGAAAGCAACTTGCGCTTACACTGATTATCTGGGCTCCAACTGAAAGCTACGAATAAGTGACATGACAAGTGGACAAGAAAGAAACTGCAGGGAATACATATGTGGCTTCATAAAAATGGTTGAACCTATACGGGAACCCACGAGTCCGTTTAAATTAGAGAAAAGTCCCCGATTATAAGATGAGCTTCTAATATGAGATAGCAGGTTTTCAATATCCAAATTCAATCGCAAATCTCTTTTCGCAACTATTACACAACCCAACAATGAATTTTTTATTCAATAGATTGCACTCCAAGAGCAATATGTAAATTCATAGTGGAATCAACAGATGATGCCTATCAATGCAGTCCAGTGAGAAATGATTCGTCGATCGACGTCGAAATGATGTCGAATCGACGAATCATTTCTCACTGGAGTAGAAACCTCGCTATCTATGATTAGGAGCCTATCCCATAATAGGGGACATTCTTCTATGTATAATGAATCATATAATGTACAAGAAATATATGTATTAATATGCAAATATAATATGCACAATAAATTATTAATTATTAACACGAAATGTCACGTTCTTATGTGCATAAGTGAGTTTCAACTCCGCGAGGCACACAAATGTACTTATTTATAGCTATAATAAACCTGCATCGTATAATTACAAGCCATGACAAACTGAGGCTCATGTAGACGTTTTGTAATGGTAACGATATGCACATACACCCTGCGGCTGGTCTTTCTCTTGTAATTATTATACTGCCTGCAGATATAGACAATGATAGCAAACGCAACGTATTGCGTAGTCGCGCGTTAATTTTCCGCTAATGCTCGGACTATAACCAACGAATAAAAAAAAAACGGAGAAACCAGGTATCTCTCAACGCTTAACTGCAATTAGATAAATAACATTTTATCGTGACAAATCCAAACGAAGCGACAGCACGATTTGTATAGGATGTAGAAATGCGATATGTTGAAAGCATCGCAATGCAATTTCGGATAATGACGTTAGGTGAGCGGTCTTGTAGAAAAAAAATGCGCAGATATCTTTGAAATTTCCCAGAAATCGTCTCTCCCGCATTGGCAAACTTATTTGCATCGTGGACATTGTGAATCCTCGATTACGTAATGATAATAATCATCAGCACGTGACCCTCCAGTGTCTTCGAGCAGATTTCAAATAGCCCGTCTAACACTTGTTCATTATCGAGTGCATCTACGTTGAGTGACTCACGCACACCTACACATGCACGCATATGAATATACGTACGCAGAAGTGGTTGGGAAAATTATTTGTTGTCTTAATCGACGATCGGGCAATCGGAGGTTACATTCTACAAACGAGTAATTATTAATAACCGTGACATAATTTTGTAACGAGAAGGAAGGAAGAAATATTATCACGACACTGCGATCATAGAAAATAAGTTTGTCAATTTGTTAATCGTTCGAACACGTGTCGTGCGTTTGTTTTTTAGTTTGTAAAGTAACACTTCTACAATAAATAAGTATACTGTGAATGAGAAAGACACGTCGCGCGCGACACTGTTCCTACGCTAACAATCTCTAAAGCTTGTTGCAAGTAAAGTGAGCAAAAGCACATTGCTTAACTCATCTCCGATAGCCTGTTAAGCAACTTCCCAGTGTGGAATGCAAACATAATTTAAATAAAAAAAATATATTTATGCGGGTAAATGCGGGAAAAATGTACGGAAAGATGTTTCTCACCCGTATAATAAAAATACACGCAAACATTAAATAACGATATTTTGTAATGCGTCTTGAATTTCTTCTTTGGGAAAACAGTGAAGTTTCTAATAATCTTTTCTCCTGAGAAAACATCGACGATGCTTAAATAACATCTAATGAAGATTAGCTTACAGAAGGGATCAATTATCTTATTTCTATTTTCTTCGTATACTTCATTATCTTTTGTTTTTTACTTCTTTCCTTTCAGCAAACCGTTTAAATAACTAGCTTATCAACATTTATATAATCGGATTTCAGGATTAACGTCACGTTTCTCATCTCTTCATTTCCAACAAAAGTCTCTCATAAACTAAGTATGCAATTTTCAGATTTTCTAAAGTTATAAAATCTTTCAATTGACACGCAGTTGTTCTAAAAAAACCTGCCGTTTCATTCGATGATTGTTAACTCAATCGGATACTTCGCACGCGGAAACGCGTGCACGCGTCCTTTTATGCAGCCCGTGGAGAGGACTTGGTGGTATAAAACGATGCGTTCATCGGTTCGCGCGATCATACACGCCAGCTGTGTTGCGGCAGGCAGTGGACCGCGGGCTCGTAACGACAGGTTCGTAACACGTTCGTGTCTCCGTTGTTCTCGCGCAAGGAGATTCGTAGGCGGCTGCGGTCTTTTTACGTGCGATGACGCACACGAGAAGTCATGGCCGGCTTTTGTAAAAATTACGCGAGGGAACCATTTTAGCCTGTAAACGTCTTGGAATACTCGTAATATCGTCGTTGTTCATTCGATAGTAGCCCTAATTGCGACATTTACTTGATGAAATTAATTGCTGCAGTTACTTCCTGCGAACGAGTTCAACTTCGAAGTCTGTATCTTCGAACAAAGAACGTTGTCCGGTTTTATTGTTCACACACATCCACGGAAAGACCGGACGTGCCAAAGTGTCTAAAAATTTAGTTCAACGCAGATCTACAAATCATTTGTTGAAGCACGAAGGTAAAAGCATTCTAGCAATTAGTTTGTATATTCTACAATTATTTAATGACCCACGAAAATTATTCTCAGATCTATATCTGAGAATGTAAGTTTTAGATGCTTCAGCAAACCTGTTCTTTCGATGTAACAGTTTCTCTCCTTCTTTTAGTAATGAATTGATTTTTCTACTTACACTTTATAATAAATAATTATCAATAAACAATAACATTCTTTTAGAGCCTTTTACATGTCACGTAACAACTTTTATTTAACTAATATTTCTCTTTATTTTTTTTACAGTTTCTAAATCACATGTGATGTTCGTAAATATGTTAACAGAAATCTAATCTTAAGATTTAAATTAGATCGTTATTTTCCTAAAACTTCTCGTCCTTAAAACGGTATTGAAAACGGCAGTCTACCGCTGGTTCTGCTTCACGCAGGTTCTTTCCATCTCCTGTGATTGACCAGTGAAACGCTAGTTTGCAGTTAGATGTGCACAAATTTGACTTCGACGTAGATGACATATATATAAGAGCTAAAAACAGAGCGGCTTGGAAAGGACCAAAACCAATGGTCGAAACGTAGCGTTTTTTAAATAAATGCCTTGCCAGTTATGGTCATATAATAGAATTTACTTGATTTGTTATTTGTATATTTGGTATTGAAATTGTTTTCCGAAAATACGTGAAAAATACGCATTGTTGTCTTTCACAGCTCATCGTTACGTTATTATATCATTAAATTAAGAATTGTCGCAGTGTGCTGCATAATACAATTAACGAGCGTCAAGTGCTTCTTGATTGAGCTCGAAATCGAATTATTTTGTCATATAATCTCAAATATCTCATTTTCCAGTGGTTATCAAGCCCAAACAGCTATTATGTCGCCGATGCCAGGTGTACTTTTATTCATCTCGATCGTGACTCTTCCAAACATCAGCTCCATTCCTTTGTCCTCTGAAAATTGTGTGACCAACTCGGAGTGCCAAACAGATTCCTGCTGCGTGCTAGGTTTGTCTGCCTTTTCTTTTCTTAAATTCGTGTTAAATTTACAAACGTCCCGAGGAAATGCCTTTTAGTGTCAAGAAATCATTTTTTTTCTCTATTAATATACATATATTCTTTTTATATGCAAGACATTTCCATCGAAATGTTATGAAAGCGAATCGAAAGCTCAAAAATATGTTAGGCCTATACTTTCGGTTAAGGAAGTTAACTACTGCTTCGAGCTCTTGATAGATGCTGAGTGTCGTTGATGTTCCTTTTAGGGGCTTCAAGGTACGTGATACCGACTTGCATGCCGTTCCAACAGATAGGTGAAACATGCCGAGTAAACGCTGCCACTATCACGACCAATTTGTCTTATCCGGACAATTCGCAATTGGAAGTGACAGCTGTTCATTTTATTCTGTGTCCTTGTGCCGCTGGATTATCCTGCGACTCGAAACACGGCACCTGCGAGTAGAAGAATTTTCTATCAATCGAAACGATCAAAAACATGATTATGTATGACCAGATGTATTTGGGAAGGATCGAATAACATCGAGAAAGTACAATATTATAATTGTTAGCCTGTTGTCATTGTTGGAATACATTCCAGAACTTAAAGCGCTGTTAATTATTATTACTGTTATTATATTATTTTATTCTATTCTATTTTTTACTATTTTCTCATTATTATCACTTATACCAGAAATGTTAATTAGTAATTGTAAACAATATATTGAGATAAATTGAGAACAGACAACTGCATGATTAATATTTATTTATAAGAAGTGTCAAATTGCAGACAATATATTCTAAAAATGTTTGTGGCAAGCGTTTTTAACAGAATTACAATTGTGAAACAATCTGAAATAAAAATTGGACTCAATCTTTGATTTGTAAGGCACAGTCTTTCAACGCAGAAAAATAGCATTTGTAAAATTGAAAGCAACATTAATCTTGACAATGTCAATTAGAGAAAGAGCTCGTAAAGTTGTTTTAATTACATTCAAGATTATATTCCGCAATCATACCTAATTGTTAACGTTCAACTTAAGTATTATTAAGTATTAATATTATTTAAAAAACAAGTAAAAAATATAGTATTTTATTATTCGTACCGGCACCCATTTTCCTTCCTTTTGAATCATTCCTAATGCTTTTAAACGTTTGGAAACTGTTGTGTGATCAACTCCTAATAATTCTGCAAGTTCAGCTTGCGTCCAACGTGGGTCTTCATCGAGTAGTGCCTTCAATTCTTCGTCTTCGAACTTTTTTGGTGCGCCAGAGCGTTAATTCTTTATCTTCAGCATCAAATTCATTTTTTTTAAAGCGTCTGGACCAATCTCTGCATGTTGTTTTCGATAGAGCATGGTCGCCGTAAGTCTCTACAAGAATTCTATGTGCTTCAGCTGCAGATTTTTTTTGAAAAAAGTAGTGCAGTAAAATTCCACGCAAATACTCTTTTGTTGGCACAAAATTCGACATGTTTAACGCTATGGAAAACTATAGTTGTTTACACTTCGGCTGACTTCGGCGAAATGACTTATGATGCAAATCGTACCCAAGCTATCGATTAAGCGCAGTCTCAAGTTCGTCGGATCAGCCGTTGTTGAGATCCGAAATTCTAAGGGCCCGTCAACTCGCGCACTCGCGTGAACTACACGGTCGGTGTCGCGCGCGTGGTTTAACTTTAAAATTTTTCGCTTATACTTGGCGCGAGACATTACCGTGTCTCGTGATACCAGAGAAAAACCTGAGAACGGCCACGCCGGCGTTTTACTTGTTACCGTTTCGCTAGGCTGTTTCCAGCGCCTTAAGCCTATTACACAATGCCAGGCAACAGGAACAGGGAATAGAATTTCTGACGCGTTGGATTCGTCGGAAATTTTCTTCCAACCAATCCAACGCGTTAGAAATTCTATTCCCAGCTGTTTCTGTTGCCTGTTGCCTGGCATTGTGTGATGGGCTTTACGCCTACTTTCACGTTTTGGAACTACTCCGCTACGCCCATTTCCAAGCCCTATCGATAAAGTCTCCACTTGGTGCGTATCCGTGCAAGAACATTGCAATTTGCGATACTATTTGGTAGATATTTTACAAAAAAAATTAATGTTTTAATGAAGATATAAAAATTTCCACAAATTTCTATTTCAAATCAATTTTCTGTAGTTATTTATAGAAATTTTTTCCGCCAGGGCACTGTTTGTCAATCTAGCTGGCTCGGCGATTTAGAATTAATTCTTTTTGTCATTTTAACATCCCGACAAATCGCGCGCGAGTTTATCATTACCGACTCAACGGGCGGGTAGTCAGGCAGCTATCGTGAACCCAGCGAATGAATGTCCATCATTGTAGCACCCGTGGTACCAGGCACGCTCCTACAGAGAGCACGACTGGTATTTAATGCCATTTTTAGCTTAGAAAAAAGATGCTTTGATGCCTTTGATGCACGCCAAATGCACGCTTTCCGCACTTATCGTGAGCGAAAAGCGCGGCAAATTTTCAACTACAAAGACCAAAGCTCTTATGACAGAAGTTGTGACCGGTCGTGCAAGGAACCCAAGTACAAACTCGCAATTTCTAAATGTACACTCGAATTGTGCCGTTTCTCCGAACGTGAGATTTTCGTGCGTTACGAGCGATGGGGATGTGGAGGACGTCAGTCGTTACCGCGTCGGATCGTATATTCCCCGGTCTGTCGCATTACGATCGAAAGAAGGAATTTTATGACATAGGTGTGTGCCTTGCGCTTTAGATTACGACAGCCACTGTAGCTATAAAGAAGTCGGCAGACCGTCACGTCAAGAGATTTTAAACATCGTATACCTACGTACCACTTAATTTATTTCGAGATTTGGCAATGTTATTGCACTGTTATTACATAATTATCGTGTTAAGAGACTTAATATAACACTGATACGAATATCTTACTAACTTATTGTTCGCTTGTCACAGGAAATCGGATACAGTCCAGCTTACCGCTCCAAATGGCCTTGTATTTTAACGTGTGGGTATATCCCCTGTGGTTCTTTGTGATACTCATCAATTTGGACGCAAAAGTAAATATCTAGTGTAATACAGTAAGGTTTTTAAGAAATCTCCAAGTGGAGCGGTGAACAGGCGTTTCTTATATTTTGCAGTACTATCATCTGACGGACGTGTACAAATTTATAACTGTAGCTGTATTTATTGTCATATCGATATTGGAAGGTGTACGGTTGTACCTGGGGTATCTTGGAAACTTGGCGGAGAAGGTAACTTATTTCCAAGGATAGGAAAGTTACTTTTTAAAAATAACTAGCTACCGTTACTCGTTACAGAATTAAAAAAGTAACTAGTTACCGTTACTCGTTACCGAATAAAAAAGTAACTAGTTACAGTTACTATTATTTAAAAAGTAACGATTTGTTCCTTTCTTCGTTACTTTTAATGCCAAAACGAGGTAAAAGACAAGACTAAATAAGAAATCAATTTGTTCTTAAAATGCAACTACAAGGATTATTATAGGATTTTGATTATAGAATTGTTTGGATAAGATTATCGCTATCGTCGCTGTATCCTCCCATACAGCACGCATGTCTAAAAGATATTGAGACATCTTTAAGTCGTCTTTTAGACATACATATCTAAAAGACGTATTAAAGATGTCTTTTAAACATGCGTGCTGTATGGACTGCATATACTTGCGCACTAGCGCCTAAAGCTTTATAAATTTTATAACTTACAAGTCTTATAACATATACAGTATCAAAACTTGAAGATCGATTTATAAAGTATATAAAAGATTTATAAAGTATAAAATATGAAAAGTAACTGAAAATAACTGTCATATTCGTTAACGTTACTAAAAAAAAGGTAACTACGTTACCGTTACAGTTACAGAAAAAAAATGTAACGCCGTTACCAATTCGTTACCAAACAAAAGTATCTGTAACGGTAACGGCTGATTATTACAAGTAAGGCTGATGGCAGAGAACAATCCGTAAACACTTAAGACTGTCTCAGTCGTAGACGTAGGGCAAGGCAGAGAGAAACGTAAATCGTATACAATAGCCTTTCACGACTTACGTTTCTCTCTGCCTTGCCCTACGTCTACGACTGAGACAGTCTTAAGCGTTTACGGATTGTTCTCTGCCATCAGCCTAACACGTTACTTCCCAACCATGCTTATTTCAGTAATGCTCGTTTCTATCAATGCGGATTAACTTCAACCTCGGTTTAACTTACTTTATATCTTTTCTAGTCTTAAAAATTAGAAAAAGATGAAAAGTAATTTAAACTGAGATTAAAGTTAATCTGCATTGGTGGAAACGGGCCTAAGACAGACGAGCGGACGTCGGGAGTTGAAGATATTCTCTTTGTCCTTGCACAGATTCCAGAATTGGCGAGCTTCTGGCTGATATCCACCCTCATACACTTCCCTTTAGAAATGTTCCTTCTTTTCGACAGTAAAACCAAACCTCATCTTAGCGAGACGATTATCAACGGTATCATGGTGTTCTTGCTCGTCACGGAGATTATAACAGCTACTGTAGCTTTAAAGAAATCGGCAGACCATCACGCCAAGAGATTTTATATCGCACAGTTATATGGAATTGACGATAGTGGACGTTGAGTATTGTGTATTCACTCTATTTATTTCAAAATTTGGCAATGTTATTGCGCTGACAGTGTTATTGCATCATTAACATGCTAAAAAGACTTAATGTAACATGAATACGAATGATATGTTACATTTGAATAAGAACTAATCTTTGTACTTGAAAAATCTACAGAAATTAATAAATAAGAATTTACGATTTAATGCAAAATAAATATGCAAAGTTTCTTTTAACTTCGTTGTACTTTCCTATTTTAGGGGTGTTAACTTAAACCAGCGGCACACGATACTCTACTTTGTCTACTGGATTGTTTGTGAGAACCACTCAGAAGAAGAGCCTCAGATTTGCAGAAACGTCGAACGGAGCACTTATTGGCTTCTGCAACAGCCATTTCCAGTAGGCATCCAGTAGACAAAGGACCGCGTGTCACGTTTTTTAACAAAAACATAATATTGAGCTACGATGTAATATATCTTATGTTACACCACATCTTATGTGTCCACTTCTAGATTTTGCTCGTTGTAAAAGGTCTTCAAAGCTATCACATTCTTCCTCAGGTTTACCAAGAATAGTTTCATGTTATTCAACGTAATTTCTTCCTTCCCCGCTTCGCCATCCGCTAGTGCTAGCAACAGTTGTGAACGGGAAGGCGTCATACGTGATAAGAGCTGCAACAAAATCAACGCTTGAGCACAATGCTGCATCACAATTTTAACATGCGTGCAGAAAAAAAAATATAATTACATTAAACAATTGCTGTGCCATCCAACCGTGATATGGCTCTAAAGTTTCTTTGTAGGCTTCTCTCAAGAATGCGACCAGGTCTTCCGTTGCTTCCTCGACTTTGTGAGTCTCCACGATCCTTTCGAAGAATAGCAAAACCATATGTAAGGCCCTGAAATATATAACAACTACTGAGTAAAGGTTTCATATGCTGTATATGTATAATTTATAATTACTGAGTCAACAAACATCTTGTAGACCTAAGAATTTATTGCAAAGGGTGAGACAAAAGTTGTCATTGGATATGAGATTTTCCAATGAATAGAAATGTCAAGACGTCAGCTGGCATTCAATACCTTCTTAACCACATTAAGGCATCAACCGCAATGAGGTCTTTTTCCATAGATTTCTCGAGCAAAATCATGTCTTGCAGTGTCGAGTTAGCGGCTTTATCCATGGAATATCTAGTCGTGAGCTTCTGTAAATCAAAGAACGTACAATTTAAGGTTTATCGGAGACGGTCAAGACCGTCAGGTCCTGTAGAAATGGACTGTTCAACTTACGTCGATGTTGCCCTGCATGTCGTATCGCACGGGCGCAAACAGTTTGCCAAATTTATCTGAAACAGAAGCTCGTGTTCCCGTCACGTCGCATTTGAGACAAGAGGTTCAGGTTTCGGCGAAACTCGATTTCGCCGGCGGAAGTTTGAGGTTAGGCTCGAGAATACGCACCGACCGTCCGCACGACATCGCGAGCGGCGAGCAGGAACTCCTCGGTATTTATCTTGTCGTCGATTATCTCGGGAAATTGTACACTGTTGAATCCTGTTACCGCACAGGCGTTTTCCCGAACGATCGAGTCGGACGAAGACATAGTCTACCCGAGAGTGAAACGTACACGTGCGTTCAAAACAATAATGCTCTGCTGTGTTGTCATCTTCAGTTTTATATGCAGTTTTCATCACGCGACGCGCTTGAGAGAAAAGAAAAAGAGTCCGATATCGGTGGATTATCATTATCACTATCGCCGTTCAATATTCCGTATCTGCTAGCGACGATGAGCATCATGGTGGAAAAAACACCATCATTTGACTGCAGGATAACTATATGAAAATAAAGAAACGCTTTTTTCATCCAGTGTAATTAAACAAACAAAATTCATAAGGCTCTGACATAAAATCACACTATATGGGGGGAGGGGAAGGGCAGTACCGGGTATTCGTATTTGTGTTATAAGACCATAGCCATACATACAGGGTGAGTTTTAGTACGTGAACCAGTCTTTTACTATGAGAGATGGATTACCGACCGAATTGTAGTCAGCCCGGGAAAAAATGAAAACTCTCGTAACCAGTGCTGTGCATAGATGATTTTAAAATTAGCTAGATAAAGATAAGATAAAAATATGTAAATTTATCTTAGATAAGATAAAGATTATTTCGTTTTTAATATATCTAGATAAAAGATAAAATCATATGATGATTCATCTAGATAATTTGCAGATAATATTTTTAAGACTTCATGTAAACACAGTAGAAAGTTATAAAAAAATTATAGAAAAATTTAAATTATAAAGGGGGATATAGAATATATTCAGGTTAAGTGATATGACACACACATAAATGCATGGTCTACAACGCCATTCATATTTAAATAATGTAACTGTTAAATATTTCTATGTGGCTAACCTTATGTGGCCCTAAACCAAATTATCTGTACGTTATCTTAGATAATTTAGTAAAAATAACACTTTCTTTCATCTAAGATACAGATATAGATAATACTTATTTTTATTATCTATATAAAGATAAGATAACGCTAAATTTCATCTAGATAATCATCTATATAATTTTATTTAGATAACAGCAAACACTGCTTGTAACATACATTGGCCTAGTTTACATCGTGCATTTGATACGCATATCAAATAGTGTATATGAACTGATCAGCCAATGACTAAACCAATTCACTAGTTATTTACTATTTCTTACTATTCAATACGCGTATCAAGTGTACGATGTAAACTAGGCCATTAGGGATGTGCCCTGATAGTGAAATTGCCGGATACCGGATATCGGATATCCGGTAATAACATGAAACCGGATCGTTTGTATTTTGTATGAAGAATTATGAAGTGTGATTAAAAAGTATGAGTGATCCAGACAATTTTAATTAAATATTTATTAATTTGGAAGTTTTGGCCGAAATTTATACACACAGCAAGGGGAACTCCCGGGGAGCTCCCGGGGAGCTCTTAAAATTGGTCATAAGCTTCACTTGAACTTCAACGAACTCGCACGGAGCCCCCTGAGAGCTCCTATGTCCACTTTTGAGAGCTCTCTGGGAGCTTTATTTAATTTGTCATTTCGCGGTGCCTGAGCGCGCGAAATTTCAGTCCTATCATTTGTTGAAAAAAATCGCTTCTAATTTAAAAACTATTATAGCCTCGACACTTTTGTATTAGGATTTTCGTCTGGAAATTTTCTAAGGAATCTGTCATTAAGAGGACCTCCGGTGGTTTTAGTACACCCTGTACATACATTCTCGCATATGTGCGAGAGTGAAATCCCTATTAAATGCCGCGGGCGCGTTAAATTTCAAGTCATATCCCTAGAAAATCGCGGTTAATTAAAGATATGTAGGTTCATTATGTTGAAACACGAGTAGGTTGAAAATAGATAGGTAGATTTACAGATCGGAATACTGGTAGGTAGGGATTCGGATAGACAGGGACAGGGGGGCATAATTCGATAGTTTAAAAAAATAGCTAACGAGAATAGATAATAGTTATCGAAAAACTGTAACTGTGTTAAGTTACAGTTACGGATGGAGAGAAATTAACGAAGTTAGTTGCTAATTAAGTTAGAGTTGCTAAAAAGAAGTAACTTTAACTGTAACTTCGTTATAACTAAGTAACGAGTTATTTCTGCAACCCTGCATATATGTTGTGACGTTGCCGTCCCGCGTGCGCGTCCACCGGGTTCCTCCCTCAAGGCATCAGGCCGAGATTAGGGGAAACCGTGCCGCAGTCTCCAGAGAGGCGACCGTTAGAGATTCTGTCGTTCCGACGTTGTTACTGATTATTTGTTTTTTTTTTTTTGTTATGATGAATACGAGCGTGTGAGTACGGATGGACGCGAGGGCAGAGGAGAGACGAGATTCGAGGCCCGGCTAACGGACAAATTCCGCGGCGAGCACGGCGGAAAGGCGTGCGGAGCGAGAGCGGAGTGCGCGGAGCAGCGAGCCGGGAGGAAGGAGCCCAGGGCCCGTGGCACGCTATCTGAGGGGCGTCAGCGGGGGAGCCGCTGCGACAGCCCTATCGAAGGAACGCGACGAAATTTGGCGATACCGCGGGCACCTGCGCCCGGTCTAGAAAATATCGCTGCCGGCGTTGTCGCGTGCCGTCGCGCGATTGGCCGCGGGGCACGCGCCTCGCGCGAGCAGCCGCGGGGGGGGGGGGGGGGTCCCAACTATCGATCCGCGATCGCGGAAAATTCGGAAGGAGCCTGTTGCCGGACGTGTGAGAGTGAGGACCCCGGTCTGCTGCTACCGTTGCTCTACCGCCGATTTGCGAGTGTCCGAGGGTCAGGACGAGCCGTTGCCGCCTGACGAACCCGGGAGAGCCGAGGGTGCCGGTGAGATTGTCCTCCGTCCGTTTCGCCCCGTACGATTGCGTCCGGACCCGGGTTGCTCTGTCGCCGCCGGGAAAGTTTCGCGCTTGGTGTCGCCCGGGCGACGGCCCGTCGGCTGTAGATTTTCGTTGTGTGTCCCGGTCGTGGCGACAAGCAGCCGCGGTTCCCCGGAGCCTGCAGGGCACAGGTCTCAACTGTGTGTGTGAGTGAGTGTTTGCGTCGAGTCTCACGGTCGCGCGTAGTGGGCCGATCTGGAGATTCGCGGTGCGAGGGTTGCGTTGCGCGAGATCACGCGGGGTACGCATGCCGCGGGAGTGT